CAAGGAATTCTTTTCAGAGGTTAATACATTAAGTATGGTTCAATATCCAAATCTTGTCAAATTGATTGGCTATTGTGTAGATGGTGATCAAAGACTCTTAGTTTATGAATTCATTCCCAATGAAAGTTTGGAGACTCACCTTCTGGGTATACCCACATCAATTCTTGTTTCCTAGACAATAAGTTTACAAAGTTTTCAGTCTTTACATATCATGTAGCAGTTCAAGAACTGACTTTATTTAGGGTTAGGTACAAATTTTTGCTATCTACATTGTCTCTATAAAGATTTTGTGTTTAGTGTGCTAATATTTTCTGCTTTCCAGATTTATCTCCAGGAAGAAAACCTTTGGACTGGACTTCTAGGATGAAAATAGCAACAGGAGCAGCACAAGAATTGGAACATTTGCACGATACGGCGGATCCTCAAATCATTTATCTAGATTTCAAAGCATCAAACATATTGCTAGACTGAAATTTCAATGCGAAACTCTCAGATTTTGGATTTGCTAAGTTGGGTCCGACAGGAGGAAAGGATCATGTGTCTATAAGGGTGATGGATACATGTCGGTACTGTGCTCCTGAATATCAATTAACAGGTCAGCTGACAACAAAGTCTGATGTCTACAGTTTTGGTGTTTTTTTTCTGGAGACAATTTCTGTGAAGAGAGTCGTTGACACGTCAAGACCAACCGAGGAGCAGAACCTAGTGCTTTGGGTATGTTCATGATGTTTTTTTCTTCAAGGAATTTGTTAGGATTATAACCTCAAGAATAAATGGGAGTGCAGCCCTTAAGACTGATTCTCATTTCCATATTTCGGGCAGGACCACTGTTCAGGGACAGAAGTAAATTTACAGCTATGGCGGATTCATTGCTAGAAGGAAACTACCAGCAAAAGAGTCTATATCAAGCTCTAGCAATTGCAGCAATGTGTCTCCAAGAGGAAACTGACAACAGACCTTTGATGACTGATGTTGTAACTGCACTTAAGTTTCTTGCGGGGCCAATTGAGATGGAAAAAGCTACATTGTCATCAACAGAAAGTATCCATCATGTCAACTCTGTAACATAAGGAAATGTGAAGCAAAAGTTAGAACCTCAAGTGACACTCCAATATGCCTAACATAATATATATTATGTTAGTCAAATTGACCAAGAATGAAAGAAATGGCCATTTATTACGGGAAGGAAAGAAGATGGCAGCAGTTTTTGGCATAAAAGCCATTTGACAATGAAAGCTGCTGGAGGAAAAACTCATATAGGTTTGGCTTTAAAGCTCATGGCTTGTATTGGTGGTTTCAGATGTGTTCAATTTGGTCCCTATGGTTGATGATGGAAAATAACTAATGAAATGAACAATGTTTTCTAATTTTCCATAGGGGAATGAAAATTGGAGTCGGAAAATGGAAAACATTTTCTATTACTGAACGCACTCTCAAGGTTTCCTGTAGAAACCGAAAGCTCCTCCTAGAATTCCTGGTGCGTGAGAAATGTGTATATTGCCCTGTAACTATAATTTGCATCCCACATTGTTACTGTATTGCATAGATTTGTAAAGATATATGGAATCTATTTACGAATGATTGACCTGGGTTGACCCCAGGTCGGATCTGACAGCTATGGTAAGAACTATGACACGGTGGCACGGCATTCGACATATCAGGAATGATATTTGCTAACCTTCCAATCTGGTAGTCAACATCTAATGCACTACAGACGCACTAAAACCTTACAGAAGTTAACCTATCAATATCGTATCGCTGCTACCTGAATATATATATATATATATATGGATGATTCGATGAAGCATGCAGGTTGAAAGCATTGGCAGCTCCATGAATAGTAACACAATCCTAATTATCAACAACATTCCTTAAATGTAAGCCTGATAGATAACTCTACCAGCTTAGAGAGGTCAGAAAGCGTGGCAGCTCTCCTGCATATCCTTCAAATCATCCTTCAGGATTCTATGACTGAACCCAGGAATCCTACTGAGACTATTACTGTCAGCAGCTTCCACAGCTAGACAGATATTTGGAAAGAATCTGCTGCTGCCAGTTCCTTTTTTCCTCTTCAAGTCATAGTTAAAGACTAGAAAAACAACCCTCTTCTAGTTTATAAAACTCCAAGAGGTCCTGGATTTTTGAAAAATTATTGTAAGAACTCGGATCATTATGAGTCCATGCTTACAAAATGATGTGTCCTATAATCATTTTAAGGTGGATCCTATTTAATTTATACGTGTGGATTCACCCTGAGACGAATAGAAAGTACCTAATATTTTCTTGTAGTAATTGTCAATGGAATCTTATTCTCTGGACAATGAATTAGTTATAAATCATGGTATTGTTCATGACCCAACCTAAAGCTTGAGTTATGGATTAGATTACAATAAACTAGTTAATCCAAATTAATTTAAAAAACATCATTTTAAAATATTTGTTTTTCTATAAAAAGTTAACATTACCTCATTTTGAATTGTGTTTTTTTTTTTTAAATAAAATCAAGTCTCTCTATATTTTAACTCAGATAAACATATTAATTGGATCAACTCCCACTCAATTTAATATAAATCCCAACCCAAGCCAGTCCAGTCAGCAGCCACTAGATTGACCCTCACCAGGGTGAGTTTAATAATTATAAAAAAGTGGTTTATAAATAGATTCCATGGTGGGGCCCTGTCAGCATTTATCTTAAGCCATGAGCAAGTACTAATTATAAGAGGGTGTGCGTTAACAGTTAGCTAAGAAGAAACCAAGAAAACCAATTACTAGTTGGAAGCAAGAGGCTGACAACTAGACTAACAAACAATTTCAGAATCCAATGGTTCTGGTGTTAAATTTTACAGTAAAAGCTAACAATACTGTTACCAAAAGAACTCAAGTCCTATCTAGTTTATGGATACATAAACAGCTTTCCAAGATGGGATTGAATCCTCTTTCCTCCAACAAGGTACCTAGCAATACACAAAAGGGTTAGCAACTTGGCAGGAGGAGAGGGAAGGAAATGAGTTTCTTCTATTGTTGCAGAATGGAAAAAAACAATTCTTTCAAGGGAAGCAGATCTTCATGGAACAGCAAGGGTTATGGACAACAAAGCAAAACATTGTCAATTGTCGGGAACATGTCTTATAAAATAAGTCTGTCAATGGAATAAAAAGTTTTCAAGTCTAAGATTTTGGTAATATATAAATGCTAATCATTTCATCATGTTATCAATGTTGCAGCCTCCAGCAAAAGGAAGAATATTAATCAGTTTTTCACATTTCGTGAACTAGCTGTTGCAACTAGCAATTTCAGTCATCATTGTGTAGTGGGAGAAGGTGGATTTGGAAGGGAGTATAAAGGATACATTGAGAGCATTGATCAAGTCAGTCTTGTGTCTTTAAAGGATATGCATGCCTATGTTTTATCCTACATCATCTTGTAATGAAATTCTTTTGTTTCGTTCTTCTGCTTCTTTTTTTTTTCTTCAGATTGTTGCTGTTAAGAAGCTTGACAAGAAACGATTGCAAGGAAATAGAGAATTCTTTTCTGAGGCCCTTACGTTAAACATATGAATCTTGTCAAACTGATTGGCTATTGTGCAGATGGTGATCAAAAACTCTTAGTCTATGAATTCATGGCCAATGGATCTTTGGAAAATCACCTTCTTGGTATGCCCACATGAATTTTTATATCCTAGGCTAGAAGTTTTACCAAATTCTTTTCTGTTTACATGTCATGTGGCAGCTCAAGCACTGCCTTGATTTAACTTAGGTTTGAAGTTTTTCTATCTAAATTGTCCCAGTAGATTCTGTACTCATGGTGCTAACATCTTCTACTTTCCAGATTTACCTTCAGGAAAAGATCCTTTGGACTGGAGTACTAGGGTGAAAATAGCATCAGGAGCAGCCCAAGTACTGGAATATTCGCACGGCGTTGCCGATCCTCAAATCATCTATCGGGATTTCAAAGCTTCAAAAATATTATTAGATGAAAGATTTCAATCCAAAGCTGTCTGGTTTTGGACTTGCCAAGTTGGGACCAACAGGAGGGAAGGATCATGTGGGTGATGGGTACATATGGCTACTGTGCTCCTGAATATCAAATGACAGGTCAGCTGACAACAAGGTCGGATGTGTATAGTTTCGGTGTTGTTCTTCTGGAGATAATTTCAGGAAGGAGAGTTATTGATAAGTCAAGACCAACAGAAGAGCAGAACCTAATTCATTGGGTATGTTGATGATTTTTTTGCAATCAAGTTGTCAGGATTATATCTTTCCTTTCTGCCAGGGTTGTAGCACAGAACACAAGCTGCAAATTTTGAGGTTTTAAGAGTAATTGGGAGTGCAGACTGCAGACATTCTTATATTGATTCACATTTCCATATTGTAGGCGGCGCTGCTGTTGAAGGACAGAAGTAAATTTACAGCAATGGCAGATCCATTACTAGAAGGAAACTACCCAAAAAAGAGTCTATATCAGGCTCTTGCAATAGCAGCCATGTGTGTCCATGAAGAAGCTGAAGCCCGACCTTTGATGGCTGATGTCGTAACCGCACTTGAATTTCTTACCGAACCAACTGAGGAGAAAAAACCTTCAATGGCATCAACAGAAAGCATCCATTATGTCGACTCTGTGAAAGGAGGGAATGCCAAGGAAGAGCTAGAAGCTTAGTTGTTTTGCAGAAAACAAAACCTACTTCTACGATTTCAATATCAATATCAGTATCGTCGATATGCTTAAAGTTCAATGCCTTTTTATATTACTGTGGATCTAATTTCACAAACCTCGCAGATGCTGTATGTCTTATGTGTGTAAATATGTAAACGGACTGTTTTCGCCACTGGAAAAAGGTCCAGGCACTAGAATTGCAGGAGTGTTGTTCGTTCAGAACATCAGAATGTCCACGTAGATATAATTTCTCTCACGATATAAATTCTCGCTCTTCTTTATCAATCCCAGCCTGTTCATTCAATTAGAAACTATATGATCCAGTTTCTGCTGTTCACAAGCAACAGTAAAACTTTACTTTACATAGATATTTTTTTAATTAATTTAACAGTACTCCTTACACTGCAATTTTTGAGCAAGCTTTCCACATGTAGTGCTTCACGACATTTTAATTGAAAATTAAAGTCTGGTATGATCCAGGGAACTATACAAATTATGAGATGGGGTTTGAAAATAGCAGGAATGACTGTTGTTAACCTCCTTATCTGGTACACACAATATGTAATGCACCAAATTCTTATAAACTCAAACCTGTGGATGCCATTACGCAGCTCCAATTATCATCTATGAAATGCTCTACTGCATGATGGTAATGTCTGGATGAAGCAAGCAGGTGAGAAAGCGTAGAAAATAGTAATTCTAATCAGCAACACATGGCAGGAAATCTACCAACGTGATCCCGTGCTCCTCTCCGAGTCTGACATATTCCCTTAAACGTATGTCTGATAGATAGGTAATTTTGACTATAGAGAATCTAGTACACTTGAAGTTGTGGACCTAATGTTATAGGATCAGAAAAAGCATGGTCCAGTGGCTTCACATACCGGCTTAGAGAGGCTAGAAAGCGTGGCAGCTCTTTAAAAGATTGTCTAAACCTGCATATCCTTCGAATCATCCTTCAGGATTCTATAACTGAACCCAGGAATCCTACTGAGCCTATTGCTGTCAGCAACTTCCACAGCAGAACAGATACTTGGAAGGAATCCGCTGCTGCCTCTCCGCTTTTTCCTTTTCCAGCTCATCGTCAAGGACCAGAAACTAGGCCTTGACTGACCATTACTGGAAGCTATGTCAGCCACCTGCTCTTGAGGTTTCCTTGAACTTGCACATCGGTCTATCTCAAACTTGGAGAAATACTCAATTTCTTTCCTCACAAGTGATCCTACTGTACCCCGCGTGCCTATTGCAACCGGAGCTGTTGCAGCCATTTTCTCTGGGAACTTGGTGGTAATGGTACTGGCTTTATATTGCATAATATAGTAAGATTGAAGTGATGAAGAAGGCTTCTGGTTGCAGAAAGTAGTGGCCCTGTCTCTTTGCCAAAAAATATAATGAAAGGGTTTGCTTTAATGTTGAGGAATCTCTCTCTCTCTCACTTGGGTTTTCTTTATACAGCTCTTGTCGAACTTCTTTATTAAAGTGTACAGCATGCGATTTTGCATAATTGGCGCATTTGATAGGGATATTAGCCATCATGTTCATCCTGTGATTGCAATGAAAGCATATGCATGCTTTACTGATAAATATTTTAACCCCTTTGACCACTAAAGGGATTTACAAACTTAGCATTATGAATTGGGTAGAGCATGCACCATTTGGTCAAGCATACTTCATCTACTAATTCTGTGATAAAACATTGCTGGCAGGTTAAAGCATGCCATACTCTGTGGTTTCCTGGTCATGTTTGTTAGGTTAACCCTTCTTTTCTCATGTCAATGTGATGCACGAGGTTTCAATCAACCAATCACATACAAATTTATTCTATTTGGAACACACGTGAATAGTCGAATAGTATGTATTTGAATCAGATGGGTAGCTTCAAGTCCAATAAGAGGTATGGTTGCATCAAACAACTTGTTTGAAGAAAACATGCATAATTTTTTATTTGATAATTGAATCGAGTTCAAATTTGATCATGAGATTTTACATGATAGTTTTATATGAGATTAGCTCAATATAGCCGGTCAAGATCAGGATGGTTTTAAATTAGGCTTGGAAGTTGTCGTTCTATTATATTTTTTATTTTCTTAATTAGTTTTGGATTTTTAGCTTTATTTTCGAGTTTCTATTTGAATTATAATTCTAATTATTCTTAGGTGGGACCTGCACCATTTGATAAGCATACTTTATCTACTTATTCTGTGCTAAAACTTTACTGGCAGGGTAAATCATGCTGTGCTCTGTGGCTTCCTGTCATAATTGTTAGGTTAACCCTCGTTTTCTCATGCCCAAGTCAGAGGGGAAAAGGGTTTTTTTTTCACGAACTTGCTAGGTAAATTACTTGAAGTGGAATTGAGGTATGGTGTCATAGGTGGTGGTGTCGATTTCCCTCCCTTCTTTCGCTTTTGTGCATTGAGCGCGTTATGTGAAATGGCGACAAATCATATCTTGATTTTGTAAAGGAAAAGGACACTTTGACACGGCATTCATAATAATAGAAAGGATAGATCTTTGATCTAAGGATATTCCTGTGGCTATGATTAAACAGCCCTATTTCAGTGTCCTTTAATGTCACTAACTTGCTCCATTATACTCGATTGCGGCATTTCAAATCAAATTCAACATCTTGAACGGGACAATTGAGAATACAGTCTATTGTTTTCTGAGATGGAATGTCTTTCTGCTACAGGTTTTTGGGAAACTCAAGTGTCGGTCTATGATAAGGTTACAGGGAAAACATAGGCCAGAGTTTTCTTTGTTGTGGTTGAGGTTTGGTTAAGAAAGGGATACAAATTGCCACAAGCTCACTCCTGTCTTCTTTTTTCACCTCAATCTCTACACCCAATTTAGTGAATTGGCAGCTTTTGTTCTCCTGATCTAAAAAACACCCCAATCAAATTTGACCAAGTTAATATCTTTACGGTTCAAATTAAACCCGGCCCGAGTCAAACTCTAGATTACAAGTTTCCGAGTCAACCTGGGGCAAATGGTAGTGAAATCATCCAGAATGTGTGCATCTCCATTGTGCAAATTTCTTTTCTACACGGAACAACTAGTTCCAAGTACAAGTATGACGACTTGCATCATATGAAACCTGTATCGCAGCATTCATCACAAATGTCTCCATGATTTTCTATAGTGTAGAATAGTCCAAAATTCTCTATTATCGTAACTTAAGAGACAAGCAACAAGACAGACTACATCATTCCCTTGTCTTTTTGCCTTTTTGAAGAACTTCTCTTTCCTGCTTTTGAGTTGTCATTCTCATCAGTCTTCTCGCATAGAATTTTGCATTTCGGAAAAACCAGTCACTTCAAAATAGCTATCAATTCACGTCACCAATGAAAACAAAATCCAGAATCATAATCTCTACTGGGGCAAAAATATACCTTCTATCATAATTACATAGTTGTAAACTTGGATTGAATTTTTGAGGCTCTGGGTAGCAAATCCAAGGTGCCGGTTAATGTCTTCGACACCAAGTTATCAGCAAGTATGGCATCTAAAAGCTGATCATTGATTCCAGCAATTCCCTATAAGTATGCATGACACAACCACAGAACCCATGGCATACCCACTCATCACAACCCTCTGATCTTGAAGTCTAAAGAGGACTGTGCATTAACCAAGCAATCAAGAAATAACCAATGTAACTGCCCAGGTAAACTCAGAATTTGGGTCTTAGAAATGAAAAGGCTGACATAGGTCAGAAACAGTAAAAGTTCAGTGCAAATGACAAATTTAAATGCTCGTCATTGAAAAAACGGGATCATTTATTATCTGCTTGTGTTCATGCAATGAATGACACAACTTTTTTTTTTTTTCCTTGTATGCCTCAAAACTGGATGTTCGCTCACTTCTGTACTTACGAATGCAATCATCTCTCTCTCACAGATTTTTTTCTCTCATGTTTTTTGGTTTATTTTCATTTTCTTGTATTAGTATCCAACTAACTATTGTATACCGGGAAGATGACACGAATACCTTTGCCTCCGATGGGAAGCAAGAGCATTTTGGAGAGCAGCATCTACCCTTGCCCCTTCCTGAAACAATGAATCATACAACTTACAGATAAACTGGGATAGGTCCTCTTCATCATCATCCCAAAATCCAATAGAACGGTCACCATGCTTCTCAGCATCACTATCTTCCCAATCACTCACTGGACTGGTAGGCTCAGCCTCTTCCTCTTCCTCCTCTGCCTCTTCCTCTCCAATCTCAAACCTCCCATTTTCTAGAACATTGAATTCCCCTGATCCATGGACTAATGTCACTGGCATTTCTAAGGGCTCTGCTGAAGGGCATACAACAGCTTTCGCACCAGAATCCAGAAAGGCCTTGATTAAAGTTTGTGTAGGCCCATATGTCCCTGTGCAAATTATAATCCTGTCCCTCCAAGCTCCAACCTAGGTGTTCACAAGCCAAGAGGAAACTGCATAAATCACTAGAAAAAACAAAACAACATTGAATTAACAGTATTCTTATCAGCGTTTCTCAACCATTTGCAAGGCACAACACAGCAACAAAATTCAAGCAGCAGTTTCTGTGTTAGCCCTTAAGAGTGTCCTGATTTGCCACTCGAGAAAGTCAGGAAGAATAATTATGCTAAGGGAAACATAAACCAATAGATAAAAATCTAATTATGCTTTACATGACTTGAAAATTTGGAAAAACAATATGGAAAACGAAGAGACTTTGTGGCTCAATTATTCTACAAAATGCAAAAGCTTTATGCCTTCTGCAGGGTATGCCCAGGACGTAGAAAAGTAAAAATTATTAAAAATAGGCCAAGGGTAAGGGCACTTCCAGAGAGCAAACAATTATGAGAAAAACACTGCAGGGCAGACTTTGTCCAAATCACTCCTAACAAAACTCTGATTCAGCAGTGCCACTAGTGGATGTTGGTCTTTTGGGAATAGTCCAACATTATAAGAGAACCACAGAAGGTGAGTAGTGAATTAATTCGTCAAAGATCAACCATTTGTTCATCCAGAATTTAAAAATATGTAGAGGCAAAAGGAAGACATTGGAAAATCAAGTTTAGGCCAAAACATACCATCCAGCGAACATCTTCAGGTGTCAAGTGCATAGAAGGAACTGTTCTACGAAACATATATGCCCCAATTTCTTGGTCATCCTCCATGACCTTCAGAAAGTAGCAATGAACATTAAAATGGAGACTCATAATTTGGTGTATCCTACCAATAGTGGCTTGAATGATCTAATAAGAAAAGAAAGAAAGTCATTAACACATACTTGTGTCTGTCGTCCTATATAACGATGGATGACATTTCCAACTTGGAAGTATGGTTTACAATGAACTAAATCAGCAACAGTCAAAATATTAGCAAGAAGTGAAGCAATCTTCCTATGGCGGCTTCGGTTCATCGACAACAAACTAAATTTAACACTTTGAAGAAACTTATCAGCAAGATCTCCAGGTTCAGCAACGACAAACACATCATTCTGCCAACTATAGAAACAAGCATTCAGCACATTAGGACAGTGGCTGAAACTAAATATCAATAAAAAATTTGCAAGTCAAACAACTAAGAAGCATGTTCACCTTAATATGGAGCCTGATGAATCATTTTGAAGGGCCAAATGTACAAGTCCTACTTGTGGTGAATTCTGCAGTTTCTCATGCAATGACCGAACAGTTAAAGAGAGCCGTCTGTGTTTGGGAGACATTGGCGGTGATAAAGCTGTCTTTCCAGACTGAGCTCCATCCAAGCTTAAAGGTGGGACCATGTCAATTCGGCCAATCCTCTGTAAGCCGAAATCAGGACTGAATAGGAGTGGGCTTGAGGGGAAGCTTCCAGTAATTAGAGGGGATGCAAATGGGGATGGGAATGTTCCTGTTGGCACTGTTCTTGCAATTCCAGATGTGGCATGCATGAGAGATAGTTTTATTGCATTGCGGGTACAAAATGACTCTAGTGCCCGAGCATGATGCACAACCCTTCCTGAATCAGGGCTGTGCAGAGCTTCAACAAGCAGCACCGTACGCCTCCAACCTAGAGAGGGGCTACTCTCATCTAAAATAGTGAAATACCAAAAGATTTCAGATTCAGAAAAAGGAGCATGCCAAATGAGGCACGCATGAGAAAAGCAACTTAAGAGGATGTGCGCATCAATACCTGTATTTGATACCTTTGCCTTGGAAAATTGCTGAGATTTCATAACCTCTGAAAATTTATCGTCATGTTGATAGGGAAAAAGTAGACTATCACAGACATTTTTTAAGGCTTCAGAATTATTCTGGACATATTCATCAACTGCAGCTTCCAACTTATGCCAGATAGCTGGGTCAGTCTCATCCAGCTCCATACCACAGCGTTCATCAACTGCAAGATCAAACCATAGAGGATGCTGACTTAGAACTACAAGTTTTTTCACTAAAACTAGTCTTTAAAGGTAATTTTCAGGTATGAAAGAAGAGGAGGAAGAAGAAAAGCTTGTTAAGATATGAGGAAGATAGAGGGAAATTATAATATCTTTAAAGAATACAGGCAGGTTAGAAAACAATTTGTATCTTGCTCTTATAAACAGTCAACTTAGAGTATACCTGGATTAAAGCGAAAATATTGTATCTCGGGAAGCATGGGTAGCAACGTACTTAAAGCTTCCTCCACTCTGTCCACAGAACATGCACTCTCAATCAACACTTGGCCAGTATCCAAATAACGCCACCCGCCTTTCCGGACCTAGAACGAAAGATATTTTTGTGAATCATCAAATGAAGTAGCAACTTTTGATAAAAAAGAAAAGAAGAAGAATCAAATCCCTTTCTTTACATGGTCATGAAGTAGAGTTCGGTCACTAACATCCACAGCTTGGCAGATCAATAAAAGCAGCAGTACATTCTTCTAGTGTTCTGTAAATAAGGCACAATATGTTCCACTGTTCTAATTCAAGTTTCATTAGTTGTTTCATGCAACCTCTTCACTCTTTAAGTGCTTCCAAAGTTCTAATAGTTCAGAAGAATTTGATTGAATTCTTAGTGTACACAATCATATGGTGGATCCCATATGCCCTAAATTATAGGACAAAGCAACACATAGATTTAGAAATTCCAAGCAAAACCACAACCCATACGAGCAGAATCACCTTTGTTGGAACAGAGCCACACCCAATTGACACCAGGCAGTCAATTCTGGTGTCAGGCCATAGAAGTTGTGCTTCTCTTATAGCGAATATGGTAGGGTTGTTTGCCACTATAGCACCATCTTGCCAGCGGTTTATATCTATTGAATTGTCATTGGTTAGCAAAAATATCACTGATGCACTCAACTTATACAGGGAGGGACGAATCTCAACTTGAATAAGCAAGTCAAGAGCATACCATCTGAGAAATCATCAAGATAGTATGGAGCAGCAGATGATGCTCTTATGGCTTGCCAAATATGATGCTTACAACTACCAATAAATGCACTGCGTTTATAACCAGCTTGGGCTCCAGTAGTGGGTGATCCGAGCACGTGGACTCCTGAACTTTCTGAAATTGCAAAGGGCACTTCAGGTGTTCCAACAGGATACTGTATGTTGATACCAAAACAGAGAGAGAGAGAAGATTAGAAGAAAATTAACAAAAATATCGCCAGCAAGTATCTTGCAGGTATGATTATGTATCTATGCAGCAAAATTTGTTAAGTAATTCTTGAGATATAGCCAACACAATCAAAAAATCAAAACCATATTAAACATGTTAAGCAATAGAATTCTCAGTGTCAAACCTGATAATTGCGGAACACAAATGGTTGAGCTGGCATCACACTAACCAACGTTGATACAACAAAAACTTTGGGAACATTTTTCACAGCTGATTCTATTAACAGGTCTCCTTCCTCATCGGCACACATTTCTTTCAACAGCCTCTCGAACTGATCTGCATTGTGCTGCAATAATATATGTTATAGTGTTTTGTTCCCACAGCATCTGTGTTTAACAAAACATGTAATACATATACAGATATTAAATGAGCACATCATCATATCCTTTTATATTAAAAAACAAGTTGAAAACATTAGCAACATTCTGCAGTTTCCTGGAAGATGCAATTCTTTTATGTTCTCTGGTAAAAAAATATAGTCACACATGTTTTAATATCATTTATGAAGCAAAAAACCAGGACAATAGTAAAGCAAAAGTTACAAAAATGTAGAAAAGGATAGCCCATACTTTAGATCCATGCACCACAACTCTAAAACTCTGTGATGAACTTTTGTAAAGCTGATCCAACTTCTCTCTCCAAGTTGCAGCTTCATTATCCTTTGGCACAGGTTCAGCAAAGACAAGTTTCCCTTGAGAAGCAAATTTGCAGAACAGAATGTGAAAAAAGTGAGCAGCAAATAAAACATCCTGAAATACACATGCTTCCGTATACACACCAAGATTTTTGTATATTTCTTCACATTGATCCAAGGTCATTAGCTTAATGCCAAGAGCAACAGCCAGCATCCCACCAGTTGATGTCCCACAGATTAGGTCGAACAACTCATGTATTCGCTTTCCAGTTCCCTTCTCAATTGCTTTAAGAATCCGCACAGTTGCCAGACCTTTCATTCCACCTCCATCCATTGAAAGTATACGCAGTCCTTGCTTTGCCACTGGTCGCCCTCTTATGGCACGCCTTAAATTTTCATTTTCTCCTGGAGAGGCACAAAAGGGACAAACCCTTGTAATAATGTTTGGCTAGACAATCTAAAGATCAGGTGAAAAGCGATGAGAAAAATCCAAGATACAAACCAAGAATTGCTAGAGCACGAGCAGCTGCTTTATTCACACGTGGTTCAGATGAAACCGTCATGTGCAGCAGAAGGTCCTGCAGACTTTCAGAGGTGACCAGAAGACATCTATTTTCCAAGCAGAAGGCCAAATTTCCAACTGCTAGTAAAGCTAAACTTTGCACCTGGTGAAAGATAAATCCAGTATTAAATTTCCTGCAGAATTGTACAGAAGCAACAAAAACCAGTTGTGTATCACAAAAAGAAAGAAAGGAACTTGCCTCAGGATTTTTATGAGCACATAACAATTTTAATGATCTCAACATGTCCTTAGTCAACATCTTCTGAGATACAGTGTCAGATGAAAATGCCAAGGTTGCCACAACTTGCAACACAGAAATTACTTCTTCCTGGGCAACTGATTTCAGTACCGTTTCAATGGGTTGCAATATGTCACATTTCATCAACTGCATTGCCACGGATACATCTGCAGCAAGATCGGATAGAGCAGAGCATGCTTGTTTAACCTGAAAGACTCGAAACTATAAGAGGTGTGCAGATGAACAGACAAACAACCAAGGTTCCATTTATGATAGCAAAGATTGTCAACATACCACATGACAGTTGTCACTACTCATCATACTAATAAGCTGCCTCACTGCATTCAGATCTTTCCCAACAACTGCACGGTTTCCTTGGTCTTGCATTATCTTTGCCAGTGCAGATGCCAGCAAAGGATGATGACAAGAAGAAAATCTAAATATGAGAGAGAAGAAGGCACTAAGCCTGTGTCTAGATGCACCAAAATAAGAACTGTTCTCTGTCTGCGATTACCAAAAAATAATTAACTAAACAAGTTTAGAAGACATCCAGGAAAAAAAAAAATTGCAGTTACCACATGACCACTACCTCTATCTGAACATTCACTAATCTCAAACTTTCATCAGCCTCAATCCTTATATTAGCAAGGGACAGATGTCGTAGTTTGTGTAGAGGTAAAATTTCAGGAAGGAATTCCAGAGGGTTACCAAATAGCCTGAGAATTTGTAACTCAGCCATAGCCCTGCCATTAAACTGGAGACAAACATTAGGCTAGAAGCAAATTGTAGTTTTTCAAGCTCTATCAAACAGGGAAAATGCAGCTAAGTATACTAATTTGCTGATAAAATGACCTGAAATCAAGAAGAGGCCGGACAAGCTTGTTGTGTTCCAAAGACAATTCCACCAGTTCAACACATTGCCCCAGTTCTACTGCTCAGAATTCCAACCAAGATCACACAAACAAATAAGTTAAATAAAACAAATAATGGCCTACAACTTTTTTAGTCCTAATCAAAAGGCAGGTTATATATTTTTTCTTTTCCAAGAAATAAATTCTATTGGATGATGCATATTACGATCAGATTCTTACCAGGAACTGAAACCAGCATGTTGTAATCAACAGCAAGAATTTTCAAATTCTTCAGCTCACCAAGCTCGGGTGGCAAAACTGAAAGCCTATTATTATCAAGATAAAGCTTCTCAAGATTCGGCAATTGAATTATCACAGCAGGCAATGTCTGCAGATAGAAACCCAAGCCCAGTTACAAACAATATAAGCAAGAAGCAAACACAACAATCTTATCCGTACAACATCCCTAGCTTTAAGCATTGAGCTTATAAGAGTAGCTATATCACTCAAAATTTACTCACAGTGAAGATTTTTAACAGAGAGCGCCAACTAACTAGTGAAAAGAAACTAATCCAAACACCAACCCACCTCCCAAAACTCCCACAGAAATGAAAAGAAAAATCATCATGCATTCACCTACTTACAATAAATTACTATCGCAACAGATCTCCCAAAACCCAAAAATAGCAATATAAAGTTCCAATTTTTACATGACACTCAGACAAAAACATAAATTGCAAAACCCCAACATCAAAACCAGAAGACTCTAAATAAAGAAAACGGCATAATCTCTCTAAACTAAGCTTAACTGAGTGAATTTCATTTTCTAGCATTAACATTTCTAATGATGCAATCCCACATTTTCTCATCATTCAATAGAAGAACAATCCTTTAACCAAACTAGCAGGAATTGAAAAGAAATCCATCACGCATTCGCCTATCAAATATTCTTTCTTTCTTACTGTCAACATTCACTTCATAAATTAACAAAAAAACTAACAGGAGAGGAAACATTTGAGTCCTCACCAACAATCCACAACTGGAAAGACTGAGCAAAGTAACTGTCTTCCAATGGTGACCACCATCAGATCTAAACAACCGAGTCAATACACCAACTCCATCACTCTGTTGACCTGATCCACTCTTACCTAAAAGCACCCCTCTCAATTCCTCTCTCTTCTTCTCCACCTTCATCTCCACCTCCACTCTTCCCTCCTCCTCCTCCGCTGCCTTCAAATCCACCGTCACACAATCCTGAGGCGCAGGCAACGCAACCATCAACTGCGACTGTAACCTCAACGCCACCTGATCCTCATCATCCACTGCATTCCAATCCAATTCAATTCTAAACCCTACCTGCTCCTCATCCTCCGCAGCGACCTCCGTCGCAATCTCCTGCGGCGAAGATGAAGGCGTTAATGTGGTGGAAGAGGAGGAGGAGACGGTGGAGGATGATGTGGAGGAACGGTTGAGTTCCTCACCGAAATCTTCGGTTCCGTAGTTTAGTGTTAAGCGGAGGACCTCTGATGGACGTTTCCAGCTAAACATTGTTGTGATCTGATTTTGATCTGATCAGATGGTTAAGAATTCACGTGATCATGTTCTAGATGCCAGTGAGTGGCATTGTAGAATTATCGTGTACTAATGAGTTGAAGAAGAAGAGAGTTCTTGAGTTCTTGCTTTCTTGTAATGGTCATAAGGAGTTTGTGATTTCAATTTCTTTTTCGCTATTGGGCGTGCAAACTTGGCCACGTGGCGTCGTTTTGTTCATTTCATTTTTATTTTAAGTTTTAACCATAGTTTTCAACACCGTCTCATGCCCCGTTTATTTTTCAGTTTTTTTTATTTTAAATTAATTTTTAAGATTATTTTAAAATGTTAAAATTAAAAATAAATTTTAAAAAATAAAAATATATTATTTCATCAAATTTTCAAATAAAAAATATTTTAAAATACTAAACAAATTCTTATATTCACTTCGCTATATCAACTTAAATCAATTTTATTACTTTAATTTTTTTAATCTAAATAGTGTTATTTTTTATTTGAAAAATTTATAGTTGATTTTATTTAGTCAAATTAATCTTTAAAATAATTTGAAATAAATCAAATTTAATAATTATATTTTTAACTAATGAGGATGTTCAGATTTTAAACGAACTAATGTATTCACAAAAGGCAATTTATTTGATTTAGAGTGTTTATGAAGCTCATTGCCTTAGAAGCAATTATATGATTTTTAAAAATGAAAAATTGTTATAAAAAAAAACTTGTCTTATTTTTAAATTAAAAAAAAAGAACTGTAACTAAATATGTTTAGTACTCTCCGCAGCCCCTTGAATCATTCCATTAGTTGAGTCAAATAATGCATTATTCAAAAGATTCTCAATGACTTACTTATATATATATATATATATACACATGGTCAAGTTTTTCACAACTATATTTAAAATATAAAAATAATCCCATTCAACAAATATAATGTATTTTCTATTAATTTTTAAAAATAATTATAACTATACCTCCAAACACCCGATAAACTCTCAGTGCCTCTTTCTTGTGCCAAAGTTAACCAGAATGCTGCCAAGAGAGCACTGGATTTCATGTTCGGATGGTACGGATAGGATATTCTAGCTAGCTCGATGTGTGATATTCTTGATTGTTTAAGATGACTTTAAATTAATTAATTAAAGTGTAGCTTAGGATCTCCGCAGCAACCATTAATGTCCCCGTAATTATTCGGGAGCCTAATTAATTAATACAAGATGGCATTCCTACGCGTTAATGTGAATTTATAAAATAAATATATTTAATAGTATTAAAATTATGATGTAACATTATATAACTAATAAAAGTTAAATATATGATGAAGTTAATATTTTATAATAAAAAAAAAATTGTCTTAGTGATAATTAAATAAAATAATTTATAGCAATCCACAATATTTTATGAGAAAAAATATAATGCTTTCATTACATGATTTAGTTGATTTAGTTTTTATATTAATAAAAGATAAAAAAAATTATAAAGCTAAATATTTTATTAACTTATTATTAAAAAAAAACCAACAAAGATAATTTTGGAAGGAAAAATATTGAAGTAATTGACAATGTTTTGTGAGGAAAATTACAATGTTTTCTTCAATAAAATCAACAAAGATAATTTTAGAAAAAATTATAAAAAATTATTTAAATAAATATTATAGCAATTTACAGTGTTTTGTGAGAAAACTTACAACACTTTTTCCATATAATTTAGCTTTGTTGTAATTATAATTCTTAACTAACTCAATATTAAAAAAAAAATCGACTAAGATAATTTATAAAAAAAATCATATGAAAAAACACTGTAACAATTCACAATGTTTTAAAAAAAATTACAAAGATAAGTTTTTAATAAGTCCAATATTGAAAAAAGATCAATAAAAATAATTTTAAAAAAATAACAAAAAAAATAACAAAAACCATATTAAAAATATTATAATATTTTATAATAAAAATTACAATGCTTCCCAACATCGCCATTTCCTATTAATCCTCTCGAAAAACGTCAAAGAAAAATGCTAATCTAACACTGACCATTTCCCCCTCTCAAGGAGCCTGTTTTCGTGTCAAAATTAGGTATGAGGTCTAAGTGACCGAGTCCATGGATTAAAAAAAGAAAGAAAGTATAGTATTCAAGCAATGCCAAGGACTTGTTCTGCAATGCCACCTACCATCATGACAACGATGACTGGCAACGCCATATCCAAGCCTTTGCCGTGGCATCTTCTACAAGTCTAAACAATATGCAGCTGCCATAGCCAATCTTCCTTTGTATATGAGAATCACAGGTTGGAACAAATTGAGGAAACCATGGAGATGGCCATTGCCAAGGCTATAAAAACTGATAACAGAACGAATCATAACAGTGCTAATGTTGAAAACAATTGATGTAAGAAACATTGTCAGCAGAAACTATCAGACAGACAAATTCTGGGATTCGCAAATTTGATTCCAATGAGGGGCCGTGGTTTTACTCGTGGAATGCCAAGAACGCATGAGTTACAAATTCAAATAGGTTCATGTTCAACATACATGGATATGCCTACTTTCGATCTAAGAATATTACTGAACTGACAAGATATCTGCGAAGTTCAATATCAATTAGATCAACAGGGTATCGAGCTACCGATAAAGTGTTCTGTAGCTCAAACCTCATCAACAATTTCACTAAAATAGTTACGCATACTCCCGGATGCTCCACCAGATGCCTGATCATAGATTTAGTTTCTTTGCTGCTGAATCCTGCTTGACTCCATCACCAGCAGACATAAACTCGATCCCTTTTCTTGCGAGCTCAAATGTTTCCCTCTTTCCAGGACCTTCATATTTGAAAATAAAACATACAGCCACTAGTGGTTAGATACATGATCTCCCTTCAACAATGATGAAAGCTACCTGATCCAATTCATGTCACAAGCACAGCAGATGTTATTTATACTTGCCAAAAGCATTCGAAGCAATATTATACTCGTTAGGAAGACTAGTGGGAAAAACTCGATCCAGCATCATCAGTGCACAGGACTTGAGGGTGTTTAGCATTATATAAATCATTGTTAGAAACAGCTTCAAGCATTACAAATGCAAACAGACCTCTCCATAGTGTAGAGTTAAATAGAGAACTTGTTCCTGGGCAAATTTAGTGCCGGCAAGATTGTATTCCTGAGTTTGATGAAAAGAGGATTTGAGATGCCATCTTTTAAAAGGACTACAGGACTAACATATTATCTGCTAATGAAGAATATTTACCAGTGTTGAAGTACCATTCATCCACAACAGGATTTCCAGAAAGGTCAATAGTAATACCAACAACATCTAAATTCCTACCTACAAATAAGAATCAAAAGGGGGGAATGCTGGTTAGATGCCTTACCCAGTTCATAATCTGCAGCAGCTCACAAACATCCTTACACTTTTTGTTTCAGTGTGGTAAAAATTGTTTTTTATTTATAAATATATTAAAATAATATTTGTTATTTTAAAATTTTATTTTTTACATTAAAACTATAAAAAAAACTAAAAAAATCAAATTTTATTAAAAAACAAATTCAACTTCAATGCCAAACAGGCATTCGGTAGTCTCACGATAGTGGTCCGTGCCGAGAAGAAGTCTAACATGTATCCATTTCCTTTTAGCTCCATCACAGGTAATATTCATGGCAATAGACTTCAATGAAGCTGAAGTGTCGAAATTATGAGGAACAAAATCTATATCTAACAGCCCTAAACCTTCCACCACAGCTTGCTAATTCTAATAGAATCATTTTTTTTCTGGATAATATGGAAACACGAATTCCTTCATCAATAAAACATAAAAACATTGCTTTGACCTGACAAAATAAACCAATACAATAAACTGAAACCTCGATCACTCATGAAAGTACCTTTGGAGTTGTTCTTAACTCTATATATAATGCACAATATTTTATTTTCTTATTAATTTTATTGTCGAGTTGAAATTTTAAATAAATATATAAAAATTTAAATTTATATAAATAATTAATGATAAATTAAGATGACTCTTAAAATAGATTGAATAAATTTGAGCTAAACCAATACTTTTATAAATTTATTTAGTTAACGGAATTAATTAATACACGTGTTATCATTATTTAAATAGGTTTGATATAAGTAATAAATAATCGTTCATGAATGTATCGAGATTTATTTTAAAGGTTACGGATGATGAATTATTGTAATGGATTCAGGATTTTATTAATTACAGATTATCTAATCTGAAAAATATTAGTGAATGTAGTATTCCATGTCTGTATAAGAGGTATAAGAGATATAAGAATAAAAAATTTCTAGATCCAGATGTTGTCATGATGTATCTTCTAAAAAAAAAGGGCTTATTGAGAGATATTTGTGTTGGTATGCACACAAAAAACCATGTGTTCCTCACAATACCATGTTAGAAATGATAGTTGGGTCAACTTCTAGTGCCAATAGTATATATAAAGTTGTAAATGACACTAGTAATTCTTATAGAAATATGGTTCGTTGGTGAGTTAGTTGATCCATATCGAGTTGCACTATCTAATAACTTAGAAGAAAATTTAAATTTTCATGTTGTCGAGAATATTTTTGTTAATATTGACACTGAGAAGTTGAATGATATTTTGAACTTTAATGGACACATATATGGTATTTTTGTCAGTTATATGATAAATTTCCCGAAGGAAATACCAACGGAATAAAGCAAATAAATTTTTTTGGCATATTTTTTATCTGTAAATTTATTTGTAAATTTATTATCGACAAACCATAAATTACTGATAAAAGTTTTCTGACGAACTAGTTTTGTCTGTGAGCCTATCAATAAAATATATACTAATAGTTTGCAAGTTCAAATATCAATATAAATTTTCATTAATAAAATTGTTAAATTTAATAGTGTTAGATGATGATGCTGATCCATACAAGCTTTTATAATACATCAGTTACTAAAATTATTTTATCATAAAAAATTTAAATAAAAAAAATTCAATAACATACACATGAATACATTATGGCCTGGGACAAAAGGCACATTAGATTGCGACAATGTATTTATGTTTTTGCCCTTCTTCACAAAACAAAATGACCTAGTTGATGGAGGTACAATTGTCTCTTTATAGAGATTCGTTGCTCATTAGCAAATTAATTAAAATGAATTGGTCCACGCAATTGACTTT